AGATCTACCTAAACTTATAATTAGGCAGCAGCTTAAGCTGTAAGAGCAACCCCATCATGTAGCAGTGAACTGCTAATTAAATTAGCAAAACACATTAAATCTCATCAGCTAAAGCCTTCCAAAGATTTCCTATGTGACCCTGACACTTTCAGCGATGGTTAAGTTCAAAATTTAATTTTAAAGGTAAAAACAAATCTATGTGAGAATCAGCCATCGCCTCCTTTTGCAGCTAATGAAATTTCCAAAGTCTGTATCCAAACTGTAAACTCTAAACTTCCCCCAACCTTCATGCTTGAACTGATGTCATATTTGAACTAGTAATACTCTAAGGACATTAAACGCCATTATCTTCCTCTATCTCCCTACTTTTTATCTTTCTAACTTGCATAATTTATGTTACACACTTAATGCTCTAATTTCACTTGGTTTTTAGGCTTAGTAATATTCAATTGAGAACGGTTTCAAAGTTTGTGCTTTGAAATCAGTATCTGCTCCTTGAGGAAATTTCCAACTAGAGAATGAAAAACCCTGGAGAATGAAGTGTAATCATGAGGACCTGAGTTTGAATCCTTGTGTAAAATGTTGGGCATAGCGATGCATGCCTGTAATGCTAGCAATAGGGAAAGTAAGTGGATCCTCCAAGCTCACTGGCTATAGGGCCTAGCCCAGTCATCAACCTTCCGATTCTGTGAGAGATATCACATCACCCTGTTTTAAGGTAATAAGGCAGTGAGTGATAGAGAAGACACTGCCTTTCTCTGACCACCACCTGTAAACACAATCACAGTGGGCTGCATGCATCTACATAGTCACATATATATATACCACACCACATAGAGAGACATCCATACAAATAAACAGAAAGACACACACAGAGAGAAAGAGGCAGAGAGAAACAGAAACAATAATCCGAAGGGTTTACTTAAAGTAAAAACATGCCAAAACATGCTAATTGATTGTTTAATATATCTCTTACAACATAGTTTACAATTGTATGCCATGGATAACTTCAATATCAATTCCCAGTAGTTAGACTCCGGTACAATCTGCTCAAGGTGTGGTAATTGTCACTTGCAAACTTACTCTCAACAGTTCAGCATTAAAACAACTTGGAATAACAAATATTATCTTCCAGACATATGGCTTATAAAAGGGTTTCTGTATATAATATTGGTATATAATTCTGTATATAATAATTTCTGTATAATATTATATATAATAATGAAGAAAAATTATAAGTTGACATTGGGCAGATAACTTCTCACATATAACTTCAAATTACTATTTGATAAAACATTATAAACAATTCTCATAAATTTTCATGGACTACTGTAGAAGAGTAAAGGGACCTGGGAGAGAAAGAAAGCGGAGAGACTAAGAAAGAGTGGCCTTTAGGGGAGGTACTCTAAAGAAAATATGCAGATTATGAAAGGGTCACAGTAATGTCTACTACTACATACAACTATCACAAGTTAAAAACTGAGCAAGGGGTTGGAGAGATGGTTCAGCTTTTCCAGAGGACCTGGGTTCAATCCCCAGCACCAACATGGCAGCTCACAACTCTCTGTAACTCCAGTTCCAGAGAATCTGATTCCCTCACACAGACATATATACAAGCAAAACACCAATGCACATAAAATAAAATAAATTTTAAAAACTGAGTAAAGAGAAGTTTTAACAATTACAAAACAAACATATATAATTAATCTTAGAATTCTGGGCTCATAGCCCACCCTTATCACTTACTGGTTTATATGATTTCAAGCCATACTTACCTTTTGAGTTCCTTTGCTCATCTTTCCAATAGAAGCATCAGAGCTATTTGGCAAGAGATATATGACAGCAGAGAAGCTTTAAATGCGGTCACGCTCACAAAAGCACTTGTGTGCACCTGAGAGAGGGGCCTCAGTGATAGAGACCGTTTGTAATATGGAGCTAGGACAATAGCTCAGTTGGTAAACTGTTGCCACCCATGTATAAATACCTGATCCGAATCTGAGTGCAGAGTGACACCCGTAAGTCCATAGTGTGCAAGGGGTGACTGAGCCTGGAGAACACCTGGAGCTTGCTAGGCAGCCAAACTTCCTGAATCAGGGAGCGTAAGACCACCCCCAGGCCACTTCTGTTTTACAGGCCAGGCCATAGCCCCAGAGCGGGTCTTAATACTTCCTGCTCCCCTTCCAAAGCTTAGAGGCAGCAATTTCAAGAAGCTATTAGTGTGACCTGAGAGTTGCTCCCTCTACAGCCTTTGCCACTATCCAGTACAAAAGCAAGGTCATCTAGACGGTTGTCCTTATGTCTGCTTACAGCTAAACCACCACTAGCACCCTCCATCCAATTGAAAGCAGACAAGAATGTCCTTCTCTTC